CTTCAACGCGGAACGGTCATAGTTTATTTGAAATAGCCAGGGCCACTAATATTTCGTTTATCTTGTCCAAGATTCTCCATCCAGAAAGACACAAGAGTTAGCTAATCTACTAACCTGACTGGTAATGACATCCCTCTTTGCCAAATCATGAAGTGAGCGCCTTCCAGATCATCTCCATCCAGTACATGGCTAAGCGCAAAAGAGCCTACTAAACAAACGATGGTCTTGCACCTTTTTTGAACAAGGGAATCACGATTGAGACACTCCACTATATTAGTATTCTGTCATAATTTCGTATATTTTGGAGTATATAAGTCATGTTGGACACAAGGGATTCGCCAACTTTTCGGAAATCGCAGGATCAGGTGCTGAGATAATGAAATTTTACGCCTGACTTTCGTTGTCAATGGCAGATTTATGTCGATATCCCACTCCGGTTCATCTGGCCCTTCCAGAGAATGAGAAGGTGTAGGCCAAGTGAACGGTCCTTCAAAAAATTTTGGCCCATCATTCAAGGAGATGTTTCTCGGAACAAACTGAGGTCCTATCATTTTCAGAGGTCGTTTCACTGCCATTTCCCCTCGGACCGGTATATAGGATTATTCCGAATAGGGTGTGATTGTTTCCTGTTGAAGAAGCTCCCATTTCGCTGGCTTTCGTCACCCACCAGCGCCCCTCGTAAGCCCTTGGGTTCTGGGGTCTGAGTGCGCCATTCCAGTCGTTTGCTGCCGGTATACTGACATCAATAAGAGTTGTTAATCACTAGGGTATTCCGTACTCATTGAGGTGTTCAGGGAACCTCCAGCAGACGAGCATAGATTTTCACCTCTCTTCAATCGTCATTCACCGTTACAACTATTGTACTCAGTGAGTTCTGGAAGCTTTTCAGCCGAATCTACTCAGTACTGCTGAGTTACCGAGAAGCTTTCCAGGTGATGAACTGAATGGCCTTATATCGACCAGCAAGCGAATCGATACGCGTGCCCGCGTATTGCCTTGGTCAGAGGCAGGTGCGCTTCAAAATAAGCAGCCACATGATCCAAGTAAGTCCAGGGCTGATTTGGATAACTACTCTTACCTGCACACAAATTTAGTTTTGACAGGAGACTCAGATGAATCCAGCTGAACATAATGAGTAGTGTGTTACAGCAAGTCCAGGCCTGGTTTGTAGTTTATGGCTTCAAATTCACAGGGCGTGAGGTCATGTGCCGGAAGTTTGTGCCAGCTAGAAAAAAACATTCTGTAGCTTTGAGCGCAAGTCACAAGCCGGCCACCGAGTCGAGCTTCGCTCAGACCAACCTTGGCATTCCTATCACCCAGCAGAATCACGAGATTACTTCTACTTAACGGAAACAACCGTGATAACTTACGATAGACGCTATCGTCAGTGTTGCTGTCTGTCAGAGTGTAAGTTGACACAACAGCAACTAACCATTGTTTGCCACGTTGGACTGCATCGAGCCCGATTGAGCCATTCATTCGTACAGTGCAGAGACGGCTACTTAGTGAAATTCAGTCCAGTAAGGTGCGCCGGGCACTGTGATTAACCAGATTCCGGGAACCACTAAATCAGGATCACCAGACACCCTAGGAGTAATTTGCGAGAAATATAGGTTCTTCCCAAGCGGCTCGACGGGTATGTTCCAACTGAGGTTTGGTATGCGTGTTTCGGAGGCAAAATATAAATCAGTCGAGAGAGCAAGGTATGAACAGGAGATGACTTTTGTCCCATTTGACGCAGAGTAATTACGCTGAGCTTGACGTAGCACAGTGATTAGGGCAAGAACTTAGTAACCAGTGGGCTCGTGGTTCGAACATAACCTCTGAGTCTGGACCTCTTCTTGGTCAGTCGGGCAGTAACTCACCCCTCTTGCTTACTTTGGATAGCCAGGCAGGCTGAGCCATTGTCATTTTGTTTGGACGGAGTTGAAAGTAACAGTGTGGAAGGACCCCTGGAATTCAATAACGGTTTATTTTTATTTATAATAATGGACAAAAATTTGGACATAGAGCAGTGGTCATGTGACTTACAGCTAGGTAAATCAGAAGGAAGTGGTTAAGGAACGCATGGGAGGGGCCGTTGAATGAAGAATTGCCAGGATGAGTGATGTTTCTTAGTTGTTCAGGCCGGAGACACGGAGGATCGAAGGCGTAGAGACGAAGATAAAGATGTCCGACTAATGACGCCGTCACGCATGGGCAAATCCCTTTAGAGACATCGGATCCGTGACAGGTCTATTTGCTTTTCAGCTATACTGGATAGTTTTCTGTAGGTAGTATACACGGTGGTGTATACGTTTTTAATATTATTGTAAGGAGTTACCCGACAGTTGATACCATTTTGGTCTGGTTTATTTAGAACGACAATCATTGGGTGGTATTTTGTGCGGGATGACACCTATCGGGAATGGCAGATTCCTGGAAGTTACCACTGAGTGCCCGAAATCTACTGAGCCTCTCGACTGCTCTAGATGCTGACCAGACAGACAATGCCCCTCAATATGCAGCACGTGACAGTATCAAACCCAGACAGCGGGAGCCAACGTCGGCCAAAGTCAGACAACGCCCCCACAATATGCAACGCGCCACAGCCTTGTGTCGAAGCCTTATAACGCGGAGGCAGCGTTGAACCAAGTTCAAACAGTGTTACTCCAATAAAATAGCTGCAATATGCAGCGCGCCACAGCCTTGTATCGAAGCCAGATAACGCGGGGCAGCGTTGGACCAAGGTCAGACAGTGTTACTCTAATAAAGCAGCACGAGGCCATTGTATCTTCGCACTCGCACGCACTCAAGCTCCTGCATTCTCTTTTTCGGTTCGGTGAGTCTGTTTTCGTCACTAGGCCCTGAAACGGGGACAGCAGTCAGATACAACAGATCGGTGGAACAGCAAGACATAACAGAATCAGTCACTCCTCAGTTCTAGGGGCTTAGTGAGGTCGGTATACAATGCTACACTTTACCCGGGGACAGCAATCAGATACAACAGATCGGTGGAGCAGCAAGATATAACAAAATCAGTCACTCCTCAGTTTTGGGGGCTTGGTGAGGTCGGTATACAATGCTACATTTTAAAGTATTATTACAGTAGCCTGAAGTTTAATGGCTCGATTCAGATGCCGGTGAAAGGAAGAAAGCCTTCGCTGAGGAGTTATTTATTAAAAAGTGCCAACTTAACAGTAACAGACTATTGAACAGGGAAGCAAAATACTCATATGCATCTTTTTTTACAAAAACCTTACGATAGACGCTATCGTCAGTGTTGCTGTCTGTCAGAGTGTAAGTTGACACAACAGCAACTAACCATTGTTTGCCACGTTGGACTGCATCGAGCCCGATTGAGCCATTCATTCGTACAGTGCAGAGACGGCTACTTAGTGAAATTCAGTCCAGTAAGGTGCGCCGGGCACTGTGATTAACCAGATTCCGGGAACCACTAAATCAGGATCACCAGACACCCTAGGAGTAATTTGCGAGAAATATAGGTTCTTCCCAAGCGGCTCGACGGGTATGTTCCAACTGAGGTTTGGTATGCGTGTTTCGGAGGCAAAATATAAATCAGTCGAGAGAGCAAGGTATGAACAGGAGATGACTTTTGTCCCATTTGACGCAGAGTAATTACGCTGAGCTTGACGTAGCACAGTGATTAGGGCAAGAACTTAGTAACCAGTGGGCTCGTGGTTCGAACATAACCTCTGAGTCTGGACCTCTTCTTGGTCAGTCGGGCAGTAACTCACCCCTCTTGCTTACTTTGGATAGCCAGGCAGGCTGAGCCATTGTCATTTTGTTTGGACGGAGTTGAAAGTAACAGTGTGGAAGGACCCCTGGAATTCAATAACGGTTTATTTTTATTTATAATAATGGACAAAAATTTGGACATAGAGCAGTGGTCATGTGACTTACAGCTAGGTAAATCAGAAGGAAGTGGTTAAGGAACGCATGGGAGGGGCCGTTGAATGAAGAATTGCCAGGATGAGTGATGTTTCTTAGTTGTTCAGGCCGGAGACACGGAGGATCGAAGGCGTAGAGACGAAGATAAAGATGTCCGACTAATGACGCCGTCACGCATGGGCAAATCCCTTTAGAGACATCGGATCCGTGACAGGTCTATTTGCTTTTCAGCTATACTGGATAGTTTTCTGTAGGTAGTATACACGGTGGTGTATACGTTTTTAATATTATTGTAAGGAGTTACCCGACAGTTGATACCATTTTGGTCTGGTTTATTTAGAACGACAATCATTGGGTGGTATTTTGTGCGGGATGACACCTATCGGGAATGGCAGATTCCTGGAAGTTACCACTGAGTGCCCGAAATCTACTGAGCCTCTCGACTGCTCTAGATGCTGACCAGACAGACAATGCCCCTCAATATGCAGCACGTGACAGTATCAAACCCAGACAGCGGGAGCCAACGTCGGCCAAAGTCAGACAACGCCCCCACAATATGCAACGCGCCACAGCCTTGTGTCGAAGCCTTATAACGCGGAGGCAGCGTTGAACCAAGTTCAAACAGTGTTACTCCAATAAAATAGCTCGAGGCCATTGTATCTTCGCACTCGCACGCACTCAAGCTCCTGCACTCAGTTTTTCGGAGAAAGCTGTTTTGTTCCGTTCGGTGAGGTTTTTTTTTCGTCACTGGGCCCTGAAACGGGGACAGCAATCAGATACAACAGATCGGTGGAGCAGCAAGATATAACAAAATCAGTCACTCCTCAGTTTTGGGGGCTTGGTGAGGTCGGTATACAATGCTACATTTTAAAGTATTATTACAGTAGCCTGAAGTTTAATGGCTCGATTCAGATGCCGGTGAAAGGAAGAAAGCCTTCGCTGAGGAGTTATTTATTAAAAAGTGCCAACTTAACAGTAACAGACTATTGAACAGGGAAGCAAAATACTCATATGCATCTTTTTTTACAAAAACTGAATATCCATCTTCTCTTTAACGCATCTTCCTGTACTTTCCTGGATATTCATTGACTGTTGCTCACGTCCAAGAAATGCTACAAAGCAACTCCCCAAATTCTGCAATAGATCTCCCTTTTCAAGAGACGCAAAGTGGATTTATAAGAAGAAAACATACTGCATGCATGCCTCCCCATCAGTAGTGTCACCGTTACACTGTAGAGACGTTATTACTAAGGTCCCCGTTCCTACCCTCCGTACTAATGCTTGTGGCCTGTTTAACCATGACTTTTCCGTTTAACGTCTTTCATTTTCAGATCATCTCGTGTCACCAGTATTTACCTCTGAGTAGTACGTGCAACATGAACAGTTCGAGGGATGCCTCTGCTTTTGTAGGTTTTTAGCGCAAATTGTTTTCGTTTTTATGTCTTGTGCTTCACCGATGTGGCATGCCAGGACAGTGGACAAGATATTTCACTGCACTCGCAAAGTTTTCATTGACTCAAACGGCAAAGACGTGGTCGGGAACAGATCGAAGGTACGGAACTGGTTGCTCCGTCCACTAACCAATCGGCGTGGGAATTCCAGCAAACGACTTCACCGAAAACGCTGATTGGCTGAATACATCAGACTGAGAGCCATGAAACGCCTGAGCTTTGTGCTGATCCTGATGTGTTACTGCGCGAAAGCCAGTGAATTTAATGTAAGCTCGAGAAAATTAGATCGGTTGGCAAACTCACAGGGGAATGAAGTTAGTTCCTTTAAAATTCGACATATCACATACTTTCCATCAGACGAAACTATACGATCGTGCTTCCCTGGGGGACCCTCCACTTTGGTTTTCATGGATAAACTGGTGGAACAGAGGCAGATGGAGCCTTGTTCGTCTGTTAGGAACCAGAGTGAAGTCGCTCCAAATTCTTTGCCGTAGCTGGTGACCATCAAGTCCGGTTTCGCTTATGCAGGTGTCCACAAGTTGACCAACTCGTTAAATTTACTAGTATTAGTGTAGGCATGCTCGTCGCTTGGTCACGTGTCAGTTGCGTTCGAGTACCGAAATCAGCCGTGTCTCGAAATGAGCCGCATCGATGAGTTCCGCGTTTATATGATATACAATCCAATTTATTGTTGAGTAAGCTCGCGCGAATTTCGCACCTGTATAGTAGCTTCGATTTCGCTCGACCTCGAACATCATTGTCCATCATCAGTGGCCCATATATCGTTTGTTTCGGGATGTGATTCGACTGTTCGCGTTCCGCAGATGGTCCGACCGGCGTAATTGGTTGCGAATTGGGCTGCTTTTAGTTCCCTGCATCTTTACGTCCCGAAGAGCTTGGTTATCTGGAATCTGGTCTCATCGACTCAGGCTCACAGTTCCCCGCAAGCGTTACATATGCAACCAGGCGAGTATCCGGATATGAGGTCGACAAGTCTCGCTGCCGTACATAAAATGGCGTGGTACATCGTGATTTTGTCTCAACTCGTAGATGGTGACTGCTCCAAACAAATTCTCTTACCCGGTCTCCCATAAGTAGACTGACAAAAAACAGGCGTTTTAGAAGAGTTGTGCGAAGACAGGAAGACAACTATTCGAACGGGAGTCATGTGGATGGGACTTCTACTTACTCCGCAACAAAATGCAGCAGTGACGGATGTTTCCGCGATAGGTTGCAGCCCCTGCTCGACAGAATGCAACATATGGACCCTCGAGTCAGGTAGGACTTGTTTGGATTGCGTTGCTGACTTACAGTATGCCTTACAGTATGACTTACACCGTATGCTGAATTCTGAATATCCCCCTAGCATACTGCGATAAGACGCAAGCTGAATCAATTAAGCACCATGTCAGTGTTCAAACCTGCTTATATAGTCCCACAGTTCCAAAAATTAGCCATTGCGCAAGACTGGTAAATTTGTTTGTGCAACCCGTCATCGGAAGAATGACCCACAGGACCTCTTTGTCCACCTAGTCAAAGGCTTTTGTGAATCTGAGGAATGGGTGCGTTCTCTGTCTGTTGTATCTCTTCACCTTCCCTGACGCTACTGGGTTATAGTCAGAAGACAAGAAGACGGACGACCAGAAGGAACTGTGTATTAACGCAATTACAAACTTCAATATATATGATTAACTTGTGACCGTATTTGATGGTCAATCCACTTTCAACTAACCAGTGTGTCCTCACGAAGAGACTGGACCTTACCGTGGCGTGACGGTTTGCGCACCTCAGCGATCCATTGAGCTATACTGGAGAGTGTCNGCCGGAAGTTTGTGCCAGCTAGAAAAAAAAACATTCTGTAGCTTTGAGCGTCAGTCACAAACCGGCCGCCGAATCGGGCTTAGCTCATAATTGGTCGGCCAACCTTAGCATTCCTATCACCTAGGATAATCACAAGATCACTTCTATCTAACTTACTATAGACGCTATCGTCAGTGTTACTGTCTGTCAGAGTGTATTTTGACACAACTGCGATTAACCAGAATTCCCACAACGTGGATCCCGCGAACCACTAAATCAGGATCACCAGACACCTTAAGAGTAAGTCACAAGAAATATGGGTTCCTCCCAAGCGGCTCGACGGGTATGTCCCAAATGGGGTCTTGTGTTTCGGAGGCGCAACATAAATCAGTCCAGAGAAGGAGGTATGGACAGGAGATAACTTTTGTCCCATTTGACGCAGAGTGCGTATGCTGAGGTTGAGGTAGCCCAATGTTTAGGGCACGAACTTAGTAACCAGTGGGTTCGTGGTTCGAACCGAACATCTGAGTCTGGACTACTTCTTGGTCAACCTGGCAGTATCACCCCTCATGCTTACTTCGGATAGCCAGGCAGTGAAAGGGTATTACAGCTGAACCATTGTTGTTTTGGTTGGAAAGCAACAGTGTGGAAGGACCCCTTGAATTCAATAACGGTTTATTTTGACTCATATTAATGGGCAGAAACTCGGACATGAGGCAGTGGTCATGTGACCGACAGCTAGGTAAATCAGAGGTAACTGGTTGAGGGACGCATGGGAGGGGCCGTTGAATGAAGAGTTGCCAGGATGAGTGATGTCTTTTAGTTGTTCAGGTCGGAGACACGGAGTCTCGAAGGCGTAGAGACTAAGATAAAGATGTCTGACTAATGACGCTGTCACGCATGGGCAAATCCCTTTAGAGACTTATCGGATCCGTGACAAGTCTCTTTGCTTTTCAGCTGTACTGGATAGTTTTCTATAGGTAGTATATATTAGTGCACAGCTGATGATAGCCATAATACAAATCAGAAGGTGAATGTGCACTAATAAATGTTTTTAGTATTTCTGTGACACGTATAAAAATAAATACA